GCCCAATAATTATGATAACTGTAGGCATGACCTCGTTTGACCTCGACCTTTTCGTCAACATACGAATTTTTAAGAGACAGCATGTGGCACAGTAATGAATGAACATAGATCGTATTATACTATTTTACGAGACATGAGACAACATTAATTTTGGGTATGGCACGCTGATCATTTTATCTATCGAAAACTCAACTTCAACAATAGGCTACGGATGACGTCATTCAATTTATGGTTTGGTGGATATAGCGTATGCCGCGTCATACCAAAATACGTTGAAAGATGGTACTTGTTGTTTCCCTGCCTGGCGCTTGGCATTAAAGGGACAAAACAAGGACTGGTCGGAGTCAGTATCCTGCGTCTGAGTGGGGCAACTACGGCATGGATCTCAGTGGGCGGTCTAGTACAAGGAGCTACCCACACGCACGCACACATGCACAAGCACACACACACGCACACATACACATCACATACATAGATACATACAAACCTATCTTACTGCACCCACACCCACAACTATATGTATAAACAAACGTTTAATTGTGCTCGTGTTCGTGTGGTTGTATCCTTCCCGAACCTTCAGTTATGGCGAAGATTCTCTTCAACGCCGAGACCATGAGGTCGAACATATCGGAAATATCTCACATCGGAAATCAGCCCCGGACGGGAAAGACGAGGATGGCCGAGTGAATTCCGTGATACTCCGGCAACTGCCTTCAGGAGTGAAATAGTATCTTAGTGTCACATGTCAATTAACAACACATACCGAGCGAGGCTAGGCACAAATGTGGTCAACAAGCCTGACATTTCCGCAGTCGTGACGACGATGTTCCACTATCGGGCCGCATCATTTATGAGATATTTTCAGACCCACTGACTACATGGACAGTAGACTGGAGCTTTGTGAGGCTACACAAAATACCAGTCGATGGCTACACAAAATACCAGTTGATGGCTACACAAATATCTATTGATGCCTACACAAAATACCAGTTGATGGCTACACAAATATAATTGTACAAGTATCACTTGTCCCCAACTTGTATGTCCCCCATGTTTGCGTTTTTTTCTACGCATATCCAGTCTTTAAAACTTGCTAACTTCAGATGTTATGCTGATTACTTTAACTTTTACACAGTCAACGAAATTTATGGCAATATTTATCGCAAGATATTTAACAACAAACCACAAAACCCATTCCCCATCTGTCAAACGCACTGGTACGTGCACCTGTCAAACAGTTCGGAACACATGTCTTTCTGGTTGGACCTGTTCAGCTGGTTAAATGATCGTTTGACTTCCTATATCATGAAACTCATCACTCAAGATGTGAAGTAGACTAACTTCTAGTCTCTGAAATGAACCTATCGTACAGAAAAATATCAGTTGTTAACTTAATAAAAAATTAATAATAAGGAGCCCAGAGACTATATTCATTTTCAGAAGAAATCTTGACTTGCCAAACATTATAGACTTGCATGGGCTGTATTTGATATATTTGTATCAGAGACAGACTGATACTGAAGAAATCTAGACTTGCCAAACATTATAGACTTGCATGGGCTGTATTTGATATATTTGTATCAGGGTCTGTAAGACAGACCAGATGTGCAGATTCCTTAGTATATCAGGTTGACACGATACAATTGTTGTAGGATTATGCGGTAAAATGTCCGGAGATATGTGATAATATACAGCAGGCTGAAGTGTTCCGTCGCTATTGGTCGCGGCCGCCAAGGAAGACCCGTTTTTGAACGCTGCGTGAGTTCGTGAGGTGTCTCATGACCCATTGAGGAGGAAGGAGGTGAAGTGAAGTGGGGATTAATGACGGTTTTATAGTGATAGTTCTCTTAAATACCATGCCTTAGTGTAACGTGGATACCTAGCTCAGACACATTATACTGACTCAGATCCGACAGTCATGCTTTATCCCCTGAATGCCGAGCGCCAGGCAGGGAAAAACAAGCCATCTTTCAACGTATTTTGGTATGACGCGGCCGGAGATCGAATCACAAACTTCCGCTCTCCTGGCAGACGCACTATCCACTAGACCACGTAGGCGGTTACTAACAAAACGATAGATCACTAACAATATCAATATACGCATCACTACCACATCCGTCACACTACGACGCTCTCTCCACAAGACCACGGAGGAGGTCTGATGTGGGAGGAAAGTCCGAAGTGATGCAGGTCTTGGACGTTTACTACTTTGGCGAAACCTGCGAGCACGGGTAAGCTACTGCCATACCAAGAATCATGAACGACATTAATCGGGGATTCGATCGCGAGATCATAAAAAGCGTGGATCGATGCTCATTTTGTCAATCACTGGATTGTCTGGTCCAGACTAGATTATTTACAGAATGCCGTCATATGGCTGGAATACTACCGAGTGCTGCGTTAAACAACAAACAAACAAACAAACAAACCATACAAATCTCTAGAGTTTGCTACACGCCTTCGTCCGCTGAACACATGTATGAAAGAAGCCCCCATGTTGTCTCCCTATGAAGAAGATGGTTTATCTGTGTAGAAGAATGGTTTATCTTTTTAAAAGAATGGTTTATCCGTGTAGAAAAATGGTTTATCCATGTAGAAGAATGGTTTATCTGTGTAGAAGAATGGTTTATCCGTGTAGAAAAATGGTTTATCCGTGTAGAAAAATGGTTTATCTGTGTAGAAAAATGGTTTATCTGTATAGAAGAATGGTTTGTCTGTGTAGAAGAATGGTTTTATCTGTGTAGAAGAATGGTTTATCTGCGTAGAAGAATGGTCTATCTGTATAGAAGAATGGTTTATATGTGTAGAAGAAAGGTTTATCAGTGTAGAAGAATAGTTCATCTATGTAGAAGAATGGTTTATCTGTATAGAGGTTATCTAGTGGCTGAACAGTAGTCAAATGCGAGACTACCGGACTATTTACTTCCATGAACGCATGTGACCGTGATCTTTTGCTGACCAGGGCAAGGGTGGGATTGGAATTCATTTTGACTTGTCTAACTTTTTTCCTTGGCTGATATAAATCATATCAGTTGATTTTCAGATCAACAAAAACAGCGAAACTGTGGAAATTTCATTTCTCTTTAAAGGCATTAACATATTTTATATAAAGCAGCAAAGAAAAAATCTCACCTGCTTTTTTGTTTTAAATGAAATCTTACTGAAATAAATTTCGAAAACAGAAAATTCGAAAAGTGCATTCCTACGTAAGTCTGATGAGGTTAGAATTACCACTAAATTCATATTACCTCAACGTGCAGAAATCATCTATTCGTAACACGCTAAAAGCAATCCTTACCATTTACACAGTACGACGAGGGAAGAGGACCAATACGGGATTAGTTTGCCGACGAACGCTTTCATGTTTTTAGCTTACTGGACGAAGTGAGCCTATGTCATGCCTTATTTGTCAGTTGAAGATAACATAACCTCGACGCTGGGGATTGAAAGTAACGCAGGCGGGGACCAGAAACATAATACTTTGGGTGTTTTCATGTAGCCCCATGAACAGGTCATCCTGTCTTTCGTCACCACTCGCCGCTTTCCCGTGACCAGTCATGGTCATATGACTAAGCGATCGCGCCTCCCTGTTTCGTTCGGCACCATGTTTGTTGTCTAAAATTTGATATTTTAATGCGCCTGTAAGTTAGACCAAATACGTCCAACAGAAAATGAGTATTCATTAATTCATAAAATCTCAGCAGTACGTAAATTTAAAAAAAAAGTTCAAGTATTTTATGGAGTTTTTTAATATTTGTAAATATTGTTGCTTTATCTTGTTGGCGTGCAGGAAGCCCTGTATGAAAAGGTCAATTTTGTATAGAGGGAAGAATTTAGATTTTCCTTAAAGGAAAATATCTCCTCTTCCACGTCACGAGATGAGAGATAGAGATAGAGAGATCCTCTTTCCTCGAAGTGACGTCATCCTATTGTTGTTATTATCCATGCTCAAATGCGTCCCTTTAACTTCGCTCGTGGTTACACATTTTTAACCAAAACCTCAGAGTCAAGATCAACATGTTTGATTGTACTAAAGGCATCTGACCCTTATACAAAACAAGAGTACAAGGAGATAATATCAGTGAGTACAACACAGCACAAAATATGATGCACACAAAACACATGTGCTGTTGATGTGACAAAGTGGTTGTACACAATTATTTTACGAAGTGGAATCATGATACAAAAAGCATTCTTTCGCCGGCGAAGTGCATATAAAGAGCTGACTAAAGAATCGTTTTTCCATCCTTAGATTTACATGAATATGAATTTAGTAAACGCAAGTATTTCTGTGGGATATATGCTTCCCTTAAATCAGTATAACAGTACAAACATATGACATTCATCCTCCATACAAGATTGACAGAAAGGACAGAATCTCATTGGCTTCAACTAGTCGTGTTTTTACTAAAACTTAATTTTATCAAATACAAACTTGATTATAAAAGTGGGCTTCTCTATCTGCCTTATTTGTCAGAGAAAATAACATAAGCTCGACGCTGGGGATTGAAAGTAACGCAGGCGGGGACCAGAAACATAATACTTTGGGTGTTTTCATATAGCCCCATGAACAGGTCATCATGTCTTTCGTCACCACTCCCCGCTTTCCCGTGACCATGGAATGAAGAATGGTCATTCATGTCTACATTACTTCTATCTGACCTTGTGAACTCACCATCAGAAGAGAGGAATGTATTATGATTTCATGATTATATTTCATGCTCGTTGTCAGTCTGTATTGTCCCTCGGCATTGCCAAAACCCACCTTATGTAGTACACATACAGTAAACCACGGTTATAACGGACACGCTTATAACGAACTGACGGATATAACGAACTTACTTTTTTGGTCCCGACTGTCTGCTGTAGTTATGCTGTATATATGCTTATAACGAACTACGGTTATAACGAACTAAAATTAGTAGTCCCTTTGAGTTTGTTATAACCGTATGTTTACTGTATTCAGGTCTGAAAAGACTCACTGTTCTTTTTTCTTCTAGGCTGGCTACGCGCGACTCAGTTTTTTGAGACAGTCGGGTTGATCGCCATTGCAGTAGCAGCTGTCATCTTGTTTCTCTCCCTCATCGTGCAGTCGCTCAGGAACAAGAAGATCGTCACTATCGTCAACGCACTGGCCTGCTTCGTTGCCTGTAAGTCCTCTTGTTTGACAGATTCATTCCAAAGATAATTCTTTTCAAAATAAGAGCATTGGCTTTATCAAATATTCAGTAGCGCACAAACACAGATATTCGAAGGTGTTTTTGTTTGTAAAGTTTACTGCAAAGTTTAGGTCAAAACCACACTGTGATACCCGTATCAAATACGCCACCATCGAATAACCATTTCTTGTTTGTTTACTTGTTACTCACCACCAAACATGCGTGGACACTTGCTGTTGCCCGGGAGTGTAGCCTAACCGTAACGTTGATCGTAACTTGCGATCTTTTACATTTGAGATGGGTACAAGTGGTTGGAGGAGCTAGGGATTCGACTTATGTAGAGTTCCGTACCTCAGTTCGCACACCTTCGGATCATGAAACACATTTGCCCGATAATGCTATTTGGTCTGTCAGCGCCATACGCCTCTTCATCGGGTTTAGTGAAGTGGTAATACGTCGTGATAAAAGGGAATCTGTCAAAGCGTCGTTAAAACCAACTCGCTCTCCCATAGGTATGTCCACGTGAATAATCCTGGTTAGAATTGGTTTCCAGCAACCTGTGTTTGTCGTAAGAGGCGTCTAACGGTATCGGGGTGTCAGGTACGTTGACCTCGGTTGATTCATGAGTGCAAGTCTTCGAATCCCAATTGCGAAGATCAATACTCATGCTGTCAATCACTTGATCGTCTGGTTCAGACTTTGAATTATCCCGTTTATTTACAGATATGGCAGGAATAGTGATGTGTGCGTCGTTAAACAACAAACAAACAAACAAACAAACAAACACTAATTTATGTCCTATGTTCTGTCTATTCCAGTTGGAACCATTATTGTCGGCGCCATCATCTTCGCCTCCCGGAGCAACAGCAGCTACCTGAGCTGGGCGTTCGCGCTGTGCATTGTGGGGGCAATACTGGAGGGTGTGGCAGGCGCACTAATTCTTGTGGGGACCTTCGCGACCAGAAGTTAATGTCTTTTCTCAAATTCAACATCCGGCGCTTCTGGTGTAGCCGGTTTATCCTTACCTCGAACTCTATCAGTGCCTTCTTCTCATCCTTTGAACAACTTCCGGTAACCCGAAGTAAATATCCTCCTTTATCGAAGTATCCGGATGTTTGGTGAAGTGAAAACATCAAGAAATTTGCTTATGATTGTGATCTGTTTTGCTCATCATTTCTGTAGTCACGTGATCAAAGTGGCTCGGAGTCTGGAAATTGTTAATGTAGCCATTGTTGACATCTTGCATAACATGAAAACAACTGCGGTTTACAAAATGACTGAAATTCCACGACTGTAACCGAGAGCCGCAATGGGGTCTGACAGTCAAGACATGATTCTACATGATTCAACATATCTTAACTCTCGAACCCCATCGCTTCTCTCGGCCAAGTATAATGTAGATAAGTTTGTGACTGTATGATTTAACAGGCAGGATTGTTTTAAAAGAAATACCTTCGTAATTGTCATTCTCATTCACCTAAAAATCGGAAAGCCCTTATGTAATAACGTCAGGTAGTTTTCACAGAGACCGTGGTGTTCTAGTCCATTTGAGGCCTAAACACTGTAATGACGGTATTTAATCAATAAATACATACTTTTTTGTAATTAGGGTAATATATTATTGCTTCCTTGAACTCGAGCTTGTAGACAGGCAAAGTTTTGATTGTGAGCACTGTGGAATACAAAGCTCTTTGTCAGCAATACAACTTTTTTTAGGTAGTACAACCGGTACCTACATAACGTCAGCCAATACGTGTCCAGTGGTATCACAGGGTTTCAGTGTTTTCATGTCCACCGTCTCATCCCGCCGCATGCGGCTGGAGCGTGCACGCGCCGGTTATATATAATCGCCTAAACATATGCCGCTTCCTGCAGTGACACACACAACCAGTGAGTAAATGACATAGAAGTCCGTACATCGCGACGGGCAAACTCAGGGGAAACATTAGGGCAGGGGAACTAGATAATCTACGGCGAGTACAAGTTGTGGAGGAAGTTAGGGTGTCTCACTGTGCTTGAATGACATGTTGGTCTATTAGTCCTGTAAGAGTTAGTTCCCCTTAGTTGATATCCCCAGACTCGAAATCGTTTGTCTTCCTCCTTGGAGAGATCATATATTGGTCTCTGTTAATGATAATCTACTGATGAAGCCTGTCCCTCGATATAAGGCATCTGCTCCGTGTTATAAACACGACTTCTAGCGATCGCTGGTCATCTGTCATCTGTTCATTCCGCATTGATGTTCGAGAGAAAAATCTCTATCAAGATGAGGTAGTGGGGAACACATTTCTGAAACGTCCACCACTGTCACACTTCAAACCAGCTGAACGTTGCTAGTATTGTAACTTATGTAATATTGTATACTTCCTTGGCATCTTACAAGCATGTTTTGCATAACAATAGTTTAGCATTTTGTTTGTGTGTATATGTATCTACATTTTTACCTGTCCGAATGTAATTTTTGTCTTCTGCGCTGTGCCTGTCCCGCAGATAAAAAAAACCCTGTTATTTGAATTGCTATCTTTTCAGGAATGTTATCGAGGTATTAAGATGTGCTGTCATATGTACCAAATTATCTATATTTAAAAACAGTATTTTGTTAATATAATTTTGTCATTTTTCGGTAAAAAACAAGCGTGTATTCAGTGTGGTTAAACTTTTAAACGCACCCTTTCCTCGATTTTCACAACTCCAATGGTGTAGCATTTGTATCTTTTTATGAATAAATTAATATATGTAACCAATGCAAGGATTTCGTGGCATTATCGCGCTATGTTATATTTTGAGGGCTGACTGAAGGGGAAACTCCAAGAAAAACAAGGTGGGACTACCCGCCAGGGAGACAGTCTAAAGGCCCTCTACATAGACACCATGATATGATATATTACCACCAGTTTGTAAACATTTACACTCCTAAAATAGAAACGCAAATATGATATTTATTTAATGTATACTCAGTCTGACATATGCGGACATTAGCACATAATATGTGAAGCATGTATATAGTAATTTGGTACCAAATTACCATTTTTGGAATCATCACAACAGAGAAGCTACCAAATGCTTAACACAAGCGTACCAATACAGAACAGTAGGGCACCACACGAGAACCATGGTACCGATGCACGTGCATATTCTTCATGCCAAACAACACGACTAGACCTACAAACCTATGGCTTCTCTGGGCTGCCAAACATTTGTCTAAACAAGGATCATCACAATGTCACTCAAAGATGTTAACATCCGTGAAGATCCGGGGTAGAATAGGTCTTCAGCAACTCATGCTTGCCGTAAAGGCCACTAAGCTTGTCGTAAAAGGCGTCTAACGGGATCGGGCGGTCAGGCTCCCTGACTTGGTTGATGCATGTCATCGTATCCCAATAGCTTGGATCGATGCTCATGGTGTCAATCACTGGATTGTTTGGTCCAGACTCGATGTGGGTGTGAGGGGTGTGTGCTCATAGTTTTGAATATGTCAGCTCCATACAAAATACACTCTTCAAAAAAAGACACGCACAGGTAGTATGTAGTTCATTGAACCTGACTACACAAAACAATTCAGTATATAAATTAGATATATGTTATTGGAAAATGTTGGTGGCCTGATATTCGACAAACGGTGCGTCAAAACGCAGCCATTGTTGATTTGCAATGTCTTAAACGGCATTGTTTTTACACTTGTTAATAAAACATGTCATGGAGGAAAACATTAAAGCAAAATGCACGCGCATGTTATGGCATTCGTAACTCGTGGTAGTGGCTATAAAAAGGCAAGCATAAGCCAATAATTTGTCATTCAATTGTCAACATTTTTCAAGATAAAAAATGCCGAGACTCAGCGCTGGCGATCGGAACCTCGCCATAGGACGTATCCAATGGGGGAATAGCTGTCTTCTGTCCCACGCCACGTCTACGTCCACCACAGCACCACTTGTGGCCTTTGTGACCTATACACACAGTTCAATTCCACTGCAGACCGTCCGAGAACCGGCCGACCAAGAGTTACCACCCCTGCACAGGATCGCTACATTCGACTGTTCCACCTACGTCATCGTAATGCCACAGCAGGACGCATCCCTGGTTTGAGGAGGATATCGGACCAGACTGTTAGGAACCATTTTCGCGAGGCTGGAATCCGACCCAGAAGACCAGTTATCGTCCCTGTTTTGTAACGCTTGCGTTGGTTCCATAGCTTACAGCCTTGGAATTTGAGAAACTGGAGACGAGTGTGGTTTAGCGATGAATCACGATATCTTCTTCACCGGCGAGATGGAAGACAACGTGTTCATCGTCATCGAAATGAGCGGTTTGTCCTACATTGTGTAAGCAGTACACCAGGAGATCTGACTTGGTTGTGGTCCAGGGAAATTTCACAGCAAATCGCTACATGAATCAAATTTTTCAACTTCACCTTCTTCCAATCATTCACCGGCAAATGGAGCTGTTTCAACCGGATAACGCTCCACCGCACACAGCTCGTGTAGACTACGTTCCTAATGCCAACATCAACGCCTTGCCCTGGCCGTCGAGATATCCAGATCTCAACCCAATCGAACACCTCTGGGGATGAACTCGATCGACGTGTACGTCAACGTCAGAACACACCGCATACACTCCCACAGCTGTCCAACGCGTTACAAGCAGAATGGCGCAGAATTCCGCAGGACAGAATTCGTACACTTATCCAGTCAGTGCCGAGGAGATTGCTGCCCGGGGCGGCCAGACGAGATACTGAGTTCAGCGCTACCTTGTGGCCTTTTGTGACATGACAATGAACAGTTTTCAATGCCTTCGTACACCGACAACATGTGACTATCGAGCTCTTAAATGTCATATTTGATGTCATTATGATATCAAATCAAATATTTACTTTATCAGGTACAATAAATGTACTAAAAATCTACCTGTGCGTTTCTTTTTTCTGAAGAGTGTACATATACTTATAACGGATTTATTTACCCAAAAGAGGACAAAATCACGTAGTTTGTACTTATAACTAATGCTTGTATAAAATTAACTGAGCAACTCCTTTTAAACTGAGAAACACTTTGTGCAGACATTTTAAAAATCTAATGGTAATCTTTTTTAGATGCATAAATTTAAAAAAAAGATAATTAGCTTAAAATACATTTTTAATTGCATGTTAGATATACATTTGTAACAAAATGAGAATTTGTTATATGCCATTATTCCTTGTTCAACAGGAATAAGTGAGTGCTGCTTTAACACTGACATAAAATTTAATTACTATTGGTCGTCAAACGATTTCCACACAGTTATCTCTGTTACTTTCGGAATGACACAGCCTAGTCAAGAATGGCTGTGTTTCAGCTCAATTTGGGAGGAAGTCCCGAAGTGATGCCGGTCTTGTACTTTTACTTCTTTGCTGAAATTCACAAACACAGGTTTTGGTGCTGACAAAGCAAACTACAGATTCACTGCGAATCTGGGATTCGAACACACTATCACTGGATCCTGGCACGTCCAGGTGACGTACCTTTGCACAGTGAATTGCCGCTCCTGTGATGACTGGTCCACCTGTGGCCCTTTTAGATAATGTATGTTCTCATTATATTCCATTTCCCCCAATCCGATAGAAATAAAACCTTTTACTACTAAACGACAGGAAGTCGCGTGAATTTTCTTATGAGCCAATCAGCGTCGAGGCATCGACATTTTCGGTATATATTTTATGATCAAAATAGTATCTAAGACCACAGTACATCAATTATTAGATTTTAATCGGTGTGTTTAAAACCTGTGATGTGGGAGGCATGTTTTATTTTACAAAAAGAATTGTGGGGGTATCTTCAATCCAAGTAAACACGAGTGGGGATAGTTTTGTGCAGAGTCAACTTATCTAAGATAACCAAATTGTTATCTGTCGTGCCTATTGTCATTTCCACTCTGAGAGAAACACCACTGAATCTAAGTCATTGCGGAGGACCATTTTTAAATGCCCTTATGCGGGCACACATTCCCCGCGTGAATTTGAAGAAGATAAATAAAATGTATTTGTTCATGTAAAGGTCAAGGTCAGTAATGAAAATTTGAAGCGGGGGTAAAATGTTTCTTTTAAATACATGTATGAACTGGAAGAAGAAGTTTTATCAGTCGAGCTTGAGGAAGAAACAACTGACTATCCAAATTCAGCTCCTTGAGAAAATACTGCAACTCATGCGAATGGCATAAAACCTAACGCGGGACGCAAAAAACGCCATGTACCCCTCGTGATAGTGCTACAAAACGTTATTAGTCTGAAAAAAGTGGCCAAAACATCACTATGACACACTTGTCAAAAACATCACAATTGAATAAACATTTTTTGTTTGTTTCATTTAATAATTTAGCCATCATGGGTGTATACTTTCTTTATGAAGTTTATGAGGAAGTCCAGCATTTCACACAATGTGTTCTCAATACACCCCAGATGACATTTGCTTTCAATTTTGATATATTATCCTATTTGAGGTGAGGTGAGGTGAGGTGAGGTGAGGTGAGGTGAGGTGAGGTGAGGTGAAATGGGGTTTAACGTCGCGTTCAAGATTATTGCACTTATATAGCGACGTGCATACTCGCGTGTGTGTGTATATATAGTCATCATGATACACACTTGTCATATAGGACAGTCAGACTATGGATGCCAGCTGGCTGGGTCAGAAAGGGTGTATTCTAATTCAGTTGGTGCGTTCAACCAATTTAGGCACTCACTTAGCCAACTCTGAAAAAACATTCCACGAGGATGATTAAGCGAGACTGTCTCATCCTAGACATACCTTTCGAAGAGACCATCAAGAAACATGGACAGAAGAAATGTTTATTATAAGAAGACGATACTATCGAGAGTGTATTCCAATTTATCAGTTGCAAGATATGGCAGACGATCCAGTTCAAGGCAGTTTGTATGAAATTGAAATGGAGAAAGTTGTTATTTGAGCATCGATCCACGCAATTTGGACCGATGACATGCATCAACCAAGTCAGCGAGCCTGACCACCCGATTCCGTTAGTCGCCTCTTACGACAAGCATAGTCGCCTTTTAAATGCCAAAAAAATCAGAAATCTTTCGGTTTCGGAGCCTCTGCCACATGATGACATGAACATTCCATTCTTCATGCTAAGTGATGACACATTTGCTCTTAGGACATACATGATAAACCTTACTCTACAAGAGGACTGACTAAAGAGCAGCGTATCTTCAATTACCGTATTTCTCGTGGTAGACGCGTGGTAGAGAATGCTTTCGGCATTTTAGCTCAGCGTTTTCAAGTATTCCTCACAACAATGCAGCTGTTACCAAAATTTGGACAGGATGTTGTAGAAGCATGCATCTGTCTGCACAATTTAATGCGCACGAGATATCCAGCTCTACAAAATGCAGCACTTGATACAGAGGATGAGAATCATAACCTTATTCCTGGAAACTGGCTACAGCTAGTAAACATGTGTGATGTCGGTCAAGTAGTCGGACCCAACTGTGCAACACGAGCAGGAAAACAACAACGAGAGTATCTCAAGTTGTATTTTAACAGTGCAGCTGGATCTGTACTTTGGCAGGAACGCATGCTATGAACATTTATGTGACACTTGGTATGGAGTTAATCATACTTAACTGATAAATTTTAAATTGGTAGCATTTTGTACATTTCGAAACGCTTGTTATTATCTTTATTTATTATTTATTTTCTCTGAGTTACCAACATATTAATTCATTTGTTGTTTTTAATGTTATTAAACAAATTATAAAAACAAATGTGTTGAGAATGCTTAAATTAATTTTATAACAAATGAAATATACTCTTAGAATAAGTGAAGTGAAACATGCTTTAATAAACTTTATTTAATCAGAAAAAGCATAGCAAGCATTGCTATGAACACCCTAATGAAAGTTTGCAATAAATTGAACACTGAAATGAAAAAAAGAGAAAATAGAGATATTTGAAGTTCAAATATAACGCTAATTAAATGAATAAAACAACACCAATAATTGAAGCATCAATACCCATTCGTAGGAACAGTCAACACAACATGTTTCCAGAATGTATATAAAATTACATCAGTCGTTAAGCTTTTTTAAAGCAGGCAATATAAATATATTACATACTGTAAAACACGCGGCTTCATGAAGGCAGAGGAGACGCAGAAAGGAGGCACAGGGATCGCCGAGGACGTACAAGAATCGTTGTGTTCGGCGAATAAAGGCAGAGAAGTCGCAGAGAGGACGCAGAGAGGACGCAGAGAGGACACAGAGAGAAGGCACAAGGTAAACAGGATTACATCACAGATTCATATGAAGACCATTCAGCGACCACTGTGCGTTCTCTCTGCGACCATGGCGATGCCTCTGCCTCCTTTCTGCGTTCCCCCTGCCTCCGTTCTGTCTCCCTTGAGCGACTTACATCGACGGCGATCTCACTGCGACTGTTTAAAGCAGGTTCAAAACTTTTCAGCGACAGTGGCGCTCTTGGCGATGGCTGAGCGTTCACTCTGCCTCCCTTGTGCGACCTGACCTGGGAAAACTTAAGAACGCAGAACGGTCGCAGAAAGATCGCCGTCCGGTGTAATGGGGGTATTACGACGAGAAGGGTGGTGTCTTTCCATTATATAGAAGTAATACCCCCATTACACCGGACGGCTTCTTGGACATTGGACAACTTCGTTCTTGTACTCTTCTCGGATTGCTCTACAAACCTCAGGTACAAACACAGAGATAGTGCTACGTGATACACGATACTGGTATTGTAGCGAAGGATACTTGTCTTCTGTAGCAAGGTATCGGAGAGTCACAGCAAGTTTAAGACCAGGGTCCAAACTTTCACTGTAATTAGTATTTTGTCTTAATGTTCTTGCGCTTACTCTTTGAAGTATTTCATCAAACATTCTTGGTTCCATTCTAAGGTAATTGAAAAATGAACCTTCATCCTCCAAACGTAGCTCGTGCAACAATTGGCTATAATGTCCAAATTGGAACCTTTTTTGATGCGTCAACCATGGGCGAACCCACCAGGTTCTCATTTTCCTTCTTCGTCTGTTCAGTTTGCGTTCCATTATACCAAACTCATTTGGTGTAACAACAGTGCTTGATGACCTTGTATGATAGCAATTTTCAAGCGCTGGTTGTCCATCACTAGTTGTATCACCAGGAGCTGACATAGACTGATAAAAAATCGTCTGCAGATGAGCGTTTTATAGTCAGGATGTTCAGCTGTCGCAAAGAAGGCAGAAGCATCGCTGAATGGTCGTTCGGCGATCGCCAAGGAGGCAGAGGCATCGCTGAAAGGTCGTTGAGCGATCGCCATTGGTCGTAGAGGGGTGGCAGCGCGGTAGTTAGTTGCAATAAGGAGGCAGAGGGGAGGCAGAGGGAACGCAGAGGAGACGCAGAGGGAGCGCAGAGATATCGCACAGTGAACGCCTAGGTCGTTCAGGGAATGCAGTGACATTGACAAAAGTAACATATTTAGTCGCAGAAGGAAGGCAGAACGGTGGTAGGAGCGATTACACCAAAAGAGAGTTTTCTTGAGTATGGCGACCCCACTGCGCTCTAGTCAAATTTTAGGACGCAGGAGGAGCGCAGAGCGATCGCCGTTTGGTGTAATGGCCCCTTAACCAAATACATTGATAGAAATATCTTTTTTATTATTTGGAATTTGAGACAACGGGATAGGCATGTTTTTTTCCGTCCAGATTAAGTTCTGATTCATAGGTCTTATATTAACTCACTCGTTCGGCATGTTTTATTCCTGTCGAGTGGATGGATTGGAGCTAATACTGTCCAAACATTTCTTATCTTCATTTTTGATATTCAAAATGGTTTTTTAATCAACTAGAACTGAAGGGAGAGGGGTGTAACTGCTACATGCTAGATTTATTGTTTGTTGTTTAACGCCGCACTCAGCAATATTCCAGCTATATGACAGCGGTCGTAAATAATCGAGTCTGGACCAGACAATCCATTGATTGATAGCATGAGCATTGATCCACGCAAAAGGGGTATGATGACATCAACCAAGTCAGCGAGCCAGACCACCCGATCCCGTTAGTTGCCTCTTTCGACAAGCACACTGGCCTTTTACCGCAAGCATTGGTTGCTGAAGACCTATTCTATCCCGGCTACCTGCTAGAGGAACATACTGAGCCGTATTGACTTCTGAATAATTTGTTTTTATCAAGAATCCACCCACTTCCCACTGCCCGAAATTCTTGAGAGGATTTGTGTTGTTTCTGATGGTCCGCGGCTATTTGTTCTTGTATCTGAGGCAACATGGTGTTACCAAAGTTCATACTCCTCAGTACGGGTTCTGCCAAAACAGTTTCACTGGTTTCATCATATTTCATTAACTTCAATTTCAAAGTAAAAAGGCAACACTTCATTCCTATTTTCTGATTAAAAGATCATACAGAGTACTTTCAATATTTGATTGTTCATCAGCTAGAAAATGTACAATGTCAATATTATTGATGGGGTTTGGGGTATATATGCTGTTGAGACGCCCCCTCCCATGCCTGTACTTCACCTGACCAACCTGATTATTCCTCTCGTCAAATCTCTGTCGTCGCCTCACGCAACTATCGCGCTGATCTACTGGTGTAAGCATAGTTTTTTAATTGGATGTCGGATGGATATTTAAAGTCAATAAAACTGGAAAAGGTACATGTAGTACGATACAGACTTCCACTTACTGACACAAAACAATGATCACAATGGTTTACATATAAATTAGTCTCAGACATAATCGAAAGCAATAAAATAAAAAATAATGTACAGTCATAGTTTATGTTCTTTTCATAGATTATTTTCAATTTTTAAAAACACGTCTGCGACGTAACATTTGGTTCATGTTACCTTGAGAAGTTTGAACGGTGTGTTTTTAAATACGAATCAGACTAAAAAAGTAGAAGTAACTGGTTGCACATATATCTATATCAATGAATGATGCGCGTTCGGTTCCAAATTCAATTTGTATGTTTTTATCTCCTTATTCAATGTCCGGAAATTACATTTAATCATTTAAGCCAATCGGATTGCAGCACACGCCCCTGAAATAATGAATCATGAACGTTTCCCGAGTGAATGTTGCGCAACATATCCCGCCAAAGCCAACACGTTCATAACGTGACCCACTGCTCAAGGAATAGCCATGGCGGACTTGTCGAGCGTGTCTATTTGGATTAAAGTGTGTCTGGTTCTCGTCCCTTTGGGCGGACTATTTCATCTGATAGGTTTTGCATCACCATATTGGATCTCATCGGTTCTGGGATACAGCGGAATCTGGCGATTCTGTGATAAGCGTGGTATTTTAGTCTGCTTTGAATATCTGGATATTCCTTTGCAAGGTGAGTGTCAGGTGTCATATCAACCTACGACAAATATGTTGACCTGGGTATCTTCCCGTGTCACTTTTATCTATCTAAGGGGCATGATCCCATATTTTTTTTTTTGGGGGGGGGGGGAGTATAATCAGGTACATGTACAATGTGAACGTCACATCTGCAGTCTGATGTATATGAGTACAATGTAAACGTTATTTTTCCTTAAATAGTTATGCACATGTTTGAACAAACATTATTTTCAAATGCATGGATAGGAATCACAAGAGCTTCTTTCAAAAGTGAGGGAAATATTGCGTGTTGAAAAGAGACATTGAATAGTTTAGTTATGTGCATATCTCTACGGCTGGTAAGTATTCGGCTGTAAAACCGGTAAATCAAGTACCCCACGAAGGCAAACATTCCAAAGAGTAACTCGCCTAAGGTTTGTAAAACTATGTAAAAAGCTAAGCGAATATTTAAAATTAGTAAAACATTTTCAAACAAAAAGCGTATGTTAAATGCAAGTAAACAGTATGAAAATTGTCCAAAACATTATCCCTTTATGCATTTAAAAAATGTTTTAAAATAACATTAAAACCTGATATTGGATCCCTTTTTAAATATTTCAAAGCTATAAATGAATAATCAGCTGTTGAAGATTTACGTTATGATAATTTGCCGAACGTTATTACTGAGGACAGCACAGCTCTACATCCTGTCATAACAAGAGACGAGTGAGTGAGTGAGTTGGGTTTAACGCCGCTTTTAACAGAATTCCAGTTATATCGCGGCGTGTCAGCTTAATGTGGGAGGAAAGCCCGAAGTGATGCAGGTCTCAAACGTTTACCACTTCGGTGAAACCCACGAGCACGGGTATGGTGCTGACAAACCTAGAAACATAATCGGGGCGAACCGGGATTCGAACCCACAATCATAGGTTTCTGGCGTGTCCAGGGACGCAACACTGCACAGCGAATGGCGGCGCCTTAGACGACTGGGCCACCCGTGCCCCCAACAAGAGACGAAATTATATTGTGTTTTAAAAAACTTAAAAACGCAAAGCATCTTGATTTGATAACATTATTAATGAGTATATTACCTCTACTATTGATATATTTGTAAAATATGTATGTGAAACATGGTACTGGAGACTGGTATTTTCCTGGTATTACTGGTATGGTGTAATTAAACCAATATTTTAAAAAAAGGTGATCCCCAAACACCTGAAAATTACAGACCTTCGTGTGTATACAGGTATCATTGTTGAGTTGTTTTGGAAAATTATTCACCTCTATTATATTAAATAAGCGTTATGAGCAATTATTTTGAAACCAATAACATTCTATCCGAAGCTCAGGCACGTTTCAGATTTTCAACTACCGATAGAATTTGTACCTCATTTAATCTTTCTAAACTTTAAAAAAATAGAAAAAGAAAATTATATTCCGCATTTATTGACTTTCAAACAGCATTCGATATCTTTTGGCGATCAGATCAAACTACCTCAAAAGGGTATAACTAGGAAATACTTCAACGTCATTATGACATGTACCAGAATATAAAATCATTTGAGAAACTGGAGACGAGTGTTCTTCGGCGATGGTATTAGATGATATCAAATTGAATACATCGACTTTAATAGGTAGGTACAATACATTTACTAAAATCACCCTTTGCGTTTCTTTTTTTTGAGAGAGTGGATAAAGTTGATTCTTATCAACACTTTGTCGTCACCTTTCTGCTGTTAACTAGTAAATTTACAAAGACTAAGCCTATTGCATATAAAAAGGCAACCAAAGCTATGTTTTTTTATTATTTTACGCCAAGGTAGAAAACTGTCTGTCTGTATTTTAAAACTTTTTGATACTTTAGTTACTCCTGTTCTTCTTTATGGTTGCGAAGTATCGGGTTTTCAAATTTATTTTGTATTGAAAATATACTTTACGATTCCTTAAATATTTATGTTCACTTAGGAAAAGTACTCGTAATTTTCTGATTTATGGAGATCTTGGTAGATACCCACTTGCCAACATAGTTAATGGCAGAAATTCTTTCTTAACATGTCAAAGACACAACATTGGCTTTTTTAGTGTTCAAGCTTAATAATTATAACATTATTGATGGAAAATATCTATATCTATAAACAAATGTGGATAGTAAACATTGAAAATTCTTCGAAAAGGTTACATAACATATTTTGAAGTCTCCAGATTTATAATGTGAGCGGTACTTTTTTTAATATAACTGGATAATCTTACTGACATTCAGTACGTCAAATCACTATCTGCCGATTGAAATGTAACCTATGCAATTTCTATGACTTCGGAGATGAGTTTCACGACCTATTCGTATGTCAAGCATTTGAAAAAAGATAGGACATGTTTTCTTCATAAATATTTCGAGAACATAAAATCATGTATGCCATCCAATGTACACGCATTTAAGTAAATTTCATTTTCTATCTCACCTCTCTATGCCAATTTTCATTAAAAGATATTGACACAATAATTATAAACATAAAAAAGGCAGTAGTCTCGCCGGTAGTGTTTCACAAATCCAAGTGAAATTCACTAAATATATAATCTTCCATATATACTGAACACAAAAGTTCCTGTGACATGGAATAAGATTTAATGCAAAGTTATGTTTTTTACCAAATCTGAAACAATTTCAGTTTGCAACAGATAAAAGACTCCTGTAAGTGTTCAAAAGGTTTAATTTGCCATACTGACTTCAGAAAATGCGTGATTTCATAAAAAAAACCCATGAACATGCCAAAATGTCAATTTACAATTGGAATCAATAGCGTGTGTGTCCACCTCTGGTTGCGATGCAAGCAACACATCTTCGTCTCATTGAATGGACCAGGCGTCGCACAAAGTCCTGTGGGATATCTGTCCATATCTGCTGGAGCATGTTTCGAAGTTCCTGTAGTGTCTGTGGAACACGTGGCTGACGTCGAAGGCGCCGATCCATCTCATCCCACATGCGCTCAATTGGTGAGAGATCAGGGGATGACATTCACGTTGTTTTGTTGAAGAGAATCCTGAACAAGTCGGGATATATGAGGCTGGGTGTTGTCATGTTGAAAAGTAATGCCTGGGCCATGACGACGCAAAAACGGTAGAACAACAGGGCCGATGATCTCGTCGCGGTAGCGCTGTCCATTGAGATTTCCCTCTACCACTATCAAACGGGTCCTCTGTCTTGCTGTAATCCCACCCCATACTATAACGCTGCCGCCCCCGAACCGATCTTCTTCCATGAAACAATGATTGACGTAACGTTCACCTCGACGTCGGTACACTCGAATCCGTCCATCGCTGTGGCTGAGGTGAAAACGAGACTCGTCAGTGAATAGAACTTGTCCCCACTGCATGGCCGTCGAGCGTAGACGCTGTCTGCACCACTGTAGACGTGCTTGATGGTGGTTTCCTGTCAAAATGGGACGTCTGGCGGGTCTTCTGGCGACAATCCCTGCACATCTGAGGCGACGAAGTACGGTTTGTGAAGATATTCGTCGAAGGCCAGGGATGCTTCTTGCAGTCACTGTTGCTGGCTGGCTGGATTTCGTAGTTGTATTGTTCGAATCCAGTTGTCATGTCGATTATTGGTTACGCGTGGCCTGCCACTCCGAGGATTGTCTCTGACTGCATTCGTTTGTTGCCAAAGTTGCCATAAACATCAAATGGTGTTCCAGTGGACGTTAAATTGTCTTGCAACATCACGTTGACTCGATCCTGCTCCAAGCATACCAATGGCTCGCAGACGCTCATTTTCAGATAGGCGTGTCATTTCGTAATGTTGAATAATTGCGTAATTTTGTTGTTTTTCTGAGTGGTTGTTGTCAGCACGATGCTAAACAATGCATATGGAATCCCGTTTACGCACATGTTTTAATACCCATTCTTGTGTAATAAAATGCATGGGGTTTACATAAAGGTCAACTTTTGCATGGAATGCATGCTTTTCTGTAGCAGTTGCGCTTTTATGACTTGATTCAGTACATGTGCGACAATATTGAAAACAAAACTTTACTTGTTTGAAAAATACACTAAAATATTGGGGTCACAGGAACTTTTGTTGTTGAGTATATTATTCAGCACACTAAAATGTCTTGCCATCGAGTGGGGGGCTTGGATAATATGTTAACAGTACTAACCTATCTGTTATATGTGTGGCCATGATGAGGGATTGACACACACGTCTACAACACCCCTGCACTACACCCACCCTCACATCCCCTCTAGATCCGCGTATGGTTAAATGGGTTACGCAACAGTGAGCTGTGAGAAATTGCGCAATAACCATGGATCGCATGATCGTTGTCAACAGGGTGATAACTCCAGTAGAATCTGTTGATTTAGGCCAAGGCCGAGGCATATCTTGACAATGAGTCCACATTCTCTACATCTATACAGGGTGGAGATATTCATGTCACATGACCACTTTACCCTGCAAGACCGGCCTCATCTTCAGCCTATCCTTTCTTTGTGATCACGTTTACCGTGATTTCAGATCTTTGAAAAGCGATATGTTGACATAGCAGCTGCTATTATCCGATTCAGTGAAAATGTAAATCTCGAACAATCCTTTCACTGCGTAAGATACAATTTCACTGCAGTTTTGGAGACGTTTCGTAAGGAAATGTTAAAAAGTAAATACAACGACAGGTAGGTAAAATGTTATGTTAAAGGTATTTCGATCAACGTGTAGAAAATATAGAGAATCTCGAAATGTCCTTCTTTTATTCGACTGAAGCCATGTGAAGAGTTTATGTTGTTCATCAGTGGTCTTTCAATGGAAGCAGGAAATATTACAATAAAAGGGTCACCAATATGAATGCGTTTCATATAGATATACAAGGAACAACTTACTCTCGGCACACAAGTTATGCTGCTATTCATGTGTAAACATACCTTTGAATCTTTACATATGCTTCAACCAGGACTGGGTTTAACAACAAGCTTAGAGCATCATATGGAACTAGGCATGGAATACTTTCTGTAATTCCGTGGTCAAATTTTCTTCGAAAAAGATATTTATGCGTAAATGAGTGGGTTTAAAAGTTTTAAGGAAATTCTTAGCCACATCACCGTCGGGTTACACACATTGTACCAATGACCCCGTGACAACTGCGTGACGGGCCAACGATTTAGCTACTTGGCTACCCAAGGCCCTGAAACTAGTTTTCGGATTCTTTCTTTCAAAACTTGGAATAGGTGGTCGAGAAAAGCACATTCAATTGTCTTTTTTGTCTTTTGTGTGAACATGTGGTCGGTATTAAAATAAATAAATAATAATTATTCAATTATATCATGATAATCAAGATTCTGAAAAAACTATTTAAACATGAGTGGTGAGTTTATCATCTTGTGTCGGGACATGCATAAACACAGTTTGGGATATATTTTATTGCAAAATGGGGTTTTCAGACTCGGCTGTAAAAATAAATGAGTTTCTGTTGTGAAATTGTTTTTTTTTACTTTCCTCATTTTTACGCTCGGCAGATCGTAAACATAATACAAACACAACGCCAAACGACAACAATGACGATATCAATGGTCGGCCCATTTTCTACATGATTCTTTTGGTGGGTTCAACCAGACTGCGGTCTGTAAATAATCGAGTCAGGGCCAGACAATCCAGTGATTGACATCATATGCATCGATCTGCGTTGGGAAACGATGACATGCATCAACTAAGGCAGCGAGCCTGAGCACCCGATCCCGTTAGTCGCCTCTTACGACAAGCACAATGTTTTTTTTTACGGCAAGCATGGGTTGCTGGATTATATATTGATGACATTGTTCTCTGTATTCTGTTCATGGTTTGTAAAAGCAATTAGATGTATTGGAATCCTTCGCTTTAAAATAGTGTCTCACTCTCCAACATTATTGTTTTCAGAAACGGTGACATTATATAAAACCGAAATGAAAACTGGATTATGGAGTGAGAGTCCGTGCGTACATACGTGTACGCTTCAGAGAAACAAACGGAACACTTCAATGTTTATAACCTGGTCAACACGTGGACCAGATTCGCCCCCTCCCCAAACTTATCCCATCACCCTCCCCACCCATCCAGCACCCCTAATCCGCCCTACCCCCCACCCCCACACAACCCAATACGCAAGTCCCACTTGAGTGCTGATACATGTTTTTAGTTAAGCCGAATTGATCAAGCAGAGTACACATGGCAATGATATGACGTTGTGCATTTGGGTTTCAGAAGAACGTTTCATGGTCAATCTCTGCTTGTGTTATAGAAAAGAGAATAGTATATGACTCGAAAGAACTGACTTCCGAAGCGCATGCAGGTTCCCGTCGGAGATACTCGACAATCAATAATATGTTTAGGCTGCAACCTTTATGTTCAAAATAAAGCTTTTACCTAAGGCCGCCTACATGTTCCGAAAGTCTTTGGCTTTGAAGAAAATGCTGTAAGTCTTATTAATCAATATTTTCAAGGTAAAATATGTGATGTCCCGAAAGGTATGCATTCGGGTGGTAATGCTTCTGTAAATTTTGTATCATTCTTGTATTTCCCCAGGGTTTCCTACAAACATTGGTATGAAACAAGGTTGTGTCCTCAGACCCAACTGTATTTTTATTTTTAAACGAGATTGCATGCATTATCAAAAGGGGATGTAACCCTGAAATTTTCGTGTCAAAAGAAATTGAAGATATCAAGTTACTGATTATTTACTGTTTCTTGTTTAACGCGGCACTCAGCAATATTCCAGCCTTATGACTGTGGTCTGTAAATAATTGAGGCTGGGCCAGACAATCCAGTGATGGACATCATATGCATCGATCTACTTTGGGATACGATGACATGCATCAACCACGTCAGCGAGCCTGACCAATCGTTCCCCTTAGTCGCCTCTTACGACAAACACAATGTGTTTTTTACGGCAAGCATGGGTTGCTGGATTATATACTAATGACATTGTTCTCGTGTATTCTGTTCATGGTTTGTAAAAGCAATTAGAGGTATTGGAATCCTTCGCTTTAAAATAGTGTCTCACTCTCCAACATTATTGTTTTCAGTAACGGTGACATTATATAAAACCGAAATGAAAACTGGATATTATGGAGTGAGAGTGAGAGTGAGAGCGACACACACTTACGACTTATTTTCACACTTTCTTTTCTTCCAGGCTGGCTACGCGCGACGCAGTTTTTTGAGACAGCCGGGTTGATCGCCATTGCAGCTGCAATCACCCTTTTATTCCTGTCTATCTTCGTGCAGGCGTTAAAGGACAAGAAGATCGTCACCATCATCAACGCCTTAGCATGTTTCGCTGCTTGTACGTTCTCTTAATATTTCACTACCTATGTGATCCTAAAGTGAGTGAGTGAGTGTGGTTTTACCTGCTTTAAGCAATATTCCAGCAATATCACGGCGGGGAACACCAGAAATGGGCTTCACACATTGTACGCGAACCCAGGTCTTCGGCGTGACGTGGGAACGCTGTAACCACTAGGCTACCCCATCGCCTCATATGATCCTTATGGAAATAGATAATTACTAGTATTCAAATCTTAATGTAACGTGGAAAAATCCCTTGACATGACATGATACGAATGAGAATGGGTGGTCCAGTCGTCTAAGGCGAAAGAATCCGCTGTGCTGAGTTGCGTCCCTTAGACGTACCAGGAACCTATGCTCGTGGGTTCGAATACCAGTTCGCCCTGATTATGTTTCATGGTTTGTAAGCACCATATCCGTGCAAATTTGTAAACGCCTAAGACCTGCTTCATTTAGGGTATTTCCCCCTCACTAATATTACACCTTAATGCAACTGAACTAAATTTCAAAGCGGAATTCAACACCTCATTCCCTACTATTCTAGTCCTGTGTACCAACGAAAATATGAAATATACTGAACCGCAAAAGAAACGACACCGTGGATAGATATATGAGAAACTTTATTTGTCCAAACACTGTAAACATACTTTGAGACATATCAAAAAGACGAAACTTGGAAAAACTTATCATCAATGTTGAAATTAAAGTGTCAAATGTTCTTAAAGTGAAACACAACACTAGTCTCTGAGAAACTGGCATCACAAGTCAGTATCTCGTGTCCGCCATGCGCATTGATGACTGCCGTGCTACGTCGATACATGGAATGGATGAGGCGGTTGATGAAGGCCATAGGCACTTGAGTCCGCACTCTGAGGAACGCCTGACGCAGTTCAGCTGCAGTTGTCGGCCTTGGTCGAACGTCATTCAGCCGTCTTTGAATCTCGTCCCACAGGTGCTCAATGGGATTTAAATCGGGAGTAAGGGCAGGTCACTGCATGGTTGTGATGTCATTCTGCTTGAGGAAGTCTCTTGTTTCTCTCGCAGTGTGGGCACTGGCGTTATCATGCTGAAACTCGTGGTTGCAGCGACGTGCCAAATGAGGTATGGCGAGTGGTCTCAAGACTTGATCAATGTACCGAGCTGCTGTGACACCATTGCCTCTCCCTGGACCGATGTTCTGGAAGACCACAGGGCCGACCCTCTGTGCAAGACCAATTCCACCCCACACCATGTTGCTCGGACCACCCCACGAGTCTCTCTCAACAACACAAGAATCCTAATAACGTTCCCCAAGGCGTCGCCAGACTCTCTCTATCTGCCTTCTGCTGTTGAGATTCAGTAACGGCTCTCGTCTGAGAAGAGGACTCTTCTCCACTGCTGTTGGAGCCAATGCCGGTGCTGTGTTGCCCACTGAAAACGGTCCCGGGGATGACGTGGTGTCAGAATGGGTCCTCGGTTTTGACTTGTGACAGTAGAGGTGTCTGCTCGTCAAACGTCGATTGTCCCTACGGTATGTCGAGCAGTTTCCGCAGCATTAACAAAGCGGTCTTGAAGATGCTATCGCACAATCTGGCGATCCTGACGTCAGGTGGTGACCCTTGATCTTCCACTTCGTGGTCGGTCATCTGTAGTGTTGGTGGTCTGGTACCTTTGCTGGAGCCTGTGTGTGGTCCTTACGTGGACTTGAAATGCATTGGCTACTTGCCGGGCGGTTTGTCCAGCTTGCAATCGTCCAAGGGCTTGGTGTCTCTGATTTCTTGGCAATCTTGGCAATCGTAGCAGTTCAATAACGAATGAATGTTATCCGATCTGGGTGGATTTTTATAGGGCAAGAAATTGGGGAACGCATGTGCATTTCAATTTGCACGGAACTCACGTGCATCGGGTTACCATAGCCGATGCCGTGATGTGTTTCGGCGATTCGTTTTATTGTCAACTGCTTTGTTTTTTATCACCAAATTCCCTTTTTCCGGACAAGGTAATGTTAAATTTTCGAAACTTTTACAAACAATACCCAGATATTTAAATGACCACTTTTCATACAATGTTACTTGGAGTGACGTTTCTTTTTCGGTTCAGTATATATCCTTATCGATCAGTCGTGACCAGCAGAGTGGAGCGCTTGGGCCACAGTGCCGATGGTGATATCTTCTTATCGACTTAAACAATGTATTGCGTTAATGCAGTTAATGCAGTTCGAGTTAACAAGGTATCGACGTGGGTGTAATTGTTTCTCTTGATCTTAAAGATGTAAGTATGTATATGTATGTATCCTCTGTTATTTTCCAGCGGGATCAATCATCATCGGCGCCATCATCTATGGCAGTCAGGAGGGGGTTGCACAATACCTCAGCTGGGCGTTCGCGCTGTGCATTGTGGGAGGAATACTGGAGGGTGTGGCAGGCGCACTTATCATAGTGGGAACGTTCGTTATCAGAAGAACATAAATAATTAGTCTAGCCGAAGCAGTGTATGATATCAGAATTTGGTGTACATTTAATTTTGAAGGAGCTTTTCTAAAATATTATAGAGAGGAAATTTGTTTTACTTTGTGATACAGGATATTTGGACGGAATAATGCGTTATTTGGAATGCAGACAGTCCACTTGAGATACACGCGATTTGATAACCTATTTCCCATCCGTTAACAAATGATCTGTTGCATCCTGTAAAATTCTCAGAGGACAAGTACTGCACCCAGTGGTAAATATGGAATATTTTTTGGTTGACTTTGGCAAATCGAAGCCGTGCATCCGACACAACATGATATTCTAACAGAGAATTATCTTCAGAAATTGTCTGGTTGTTGTAGAATTTAGGGCGAGTTTGGACCCCAAAAATGTTTCATGTATACACCCCTCAAGAAAGAATAGTTGTATTTTGATTAAAGTTATATTTTGGTGTAAATAGTGAGTGTTAGTTTACGATAATTAATCAACCAGTTTAATAGTGTTGTGTTCTGAGGCCTGGGCTTGGTATTATGATTTTCCGAGTTGGGATAAGTCATAAAATGAAGTAGTTTTTGAATTGTCGCCTATACTGAACATTTGATTTCCATTCATGTTTCACTGAGTCGTTGTACAGTAAACTACGGTTATAACGAACTCAAAGGGACTACTTATTTTAGTTCGTTATAACCGTAGTTCGTTATAAGAACATATACAGCATGACTACAGCAAGTAGTCGGGACCAAAAAGTAAGTTCGTTATATCCGTCAGTTCGTTATAAGCGTGTTCGTTATAACCGTAGTTTACTGTACATAAATCATATGTAACCGATTGGAAGCAATCTTTTGTTTGTTTGCTGTTGAACGCCGCACTCAGTAATAGTCCAGCTATATGATGGCGGTCTGTAATTCAGCGAGTCTGGACCAGACAGTCTGGTGGTTGACATCATTAGAATCGATCTACGTTGGAATAAGACGACATGTATCAAAGAAGTCAGCGAGCCTGACCACCCGATCCCGTTAGTCACCCCTTACGACAAGCAGTGTCGCCTCCTACGGCAAGCATGGGTTGCTGAAGACCTATTCTCTATCCGGATCTTCATGGGTCTGGAAGCAATCTAATACATTCTGTAGAATGTTTTGATGAGGTCAATTTCCTCTTGTATGTACACTGCCACTCACTAAAGACCAAGCTGTGTCTAATCCCAGAGTCGGCCTATTTCAACTTGAAAAAACCCAAGTGTTTTAATTTCAGAAAACATGTCTCCACACAAACCACCTTCATTTCAACAGATCAAACATCATTGAGTCCTTATATTTTTATTTTACTCAATAACAAAAGTTCCTGTGACACCAATATTTTAGTGTATTTTTCAAACAAGTGGGATGAGATGGATCGGCGCCTTTGACGTCAACCACATGTTCCACAGACACTACAGGAACTTCGAAACATGCTCCAGCAGATATGGACAGATATCCCACAGGACTTTGTGCGACGCCTGGTCCATTCCATGAGACGAAGATGTGTTGCTTGCATTGCAAGCAGAGGTGGACACACAAGCTATTGATTATTAAATTGACATTTTGGCATGTTCATGTTTTGTTATGAAATCATTTTTTGAAGTCAGTATGGCAAACTAAACTATTTGAACACCTACAGGAGTCTTTTAACTGTTGCAAACTGAAATAGTTTCAGATTTCAATTGGTAAAAAACATAACTTTGCATTCAATGTCTCAGGAACTTTTGTTATTCAGTATATATTCGTATCCCTGTAAACATCGTTTTACATGTGCAGTCTTTACGTGTAATTATTTGTAACACTTTTCTTTCGCCATTTGTAAATACAAAGCGCACTTAAATGTTGTTAAGGTCGGATCACAGCCAGTTATGTGCATCTTGCCTGTATCAGACATGCTTGCCACGGAGCAGGTTACTTTTGCCTTTACATTGTCACAATTAGATCTGAGTAACGAGGACGTACCAAATGTCTCTGCAAGCTGGGCAAGATGAGCACGCGGAGTATGTTAAGCAACGTAGATCACCGCTATGCTACTCACGCAAATCTTGTGGGTTTGTTTGTTTGTTCGTTTGTTGTTTAACGCCGCACTCAGCAATATTCCAGCCACAAATTCCAGATCTGTAGATAATCAAGTTTGGACCAGACATTCCAGTGATTGTCATCATGAGCATCGAGCTTCGCAATTGGAATGCGATGACATGCATCAACCAAGTGTCTCGTGAGCTTTCAGATCGGATGTTGTATTAAATTCGTTTTAAATTGTCCTGTCTTGTATTATACAACCCGTGAAACACAATTTTTTTCTATTTTCCAGCAATATCAGGCTACCCTACCGAACTTTTGTGGTGAACCTTCATGTATGTATGTGGTCTACCGGGGCTCGAACCAACACTCTATCCATAAACCACGGATGCGGTTGGTGTGTATTGAGAGCGGGACCGCCTCCCAGAGGTTTGATTCCCTGCCGCGTCATATCAAATGACCTTAAAAGATGGTACCACATGTACTTGTTACCCTGTCTGGCGCTCAGCAGCACGCAAATTAAGTGAAAGGCGACGTTAAACCGTATTACACCTCACCTCACCTGGTCGCTCTACAGACATGATAACATTGTTCACCTTGACATTGAGATGTTCCATCCATGACACTGCAGCGCCGTTTCGTATCTTCTTTCTTTCCAGGTCGACGTATTTGTCTTCAATTCTTTCATTCTGGACAATTGACTCATAACAGAAGACCTTGTTACATCCAGCTTGCTTTTTCTCATCTTTTTGTTTGGGGGGATTTGGATTTGAACTTTTAACCTTTGACGTAGGTTTAGTGCTAACAGAAAGAGTGGTGTCTTTGCTAAGAGATAGAGATCTCCTTGACGCTGGTCTCGATTTACGTGTGTCACTTTGTGAAGGGAAAAGGATTCCAAGTCAGTGAAAACGTGTTGGTTATCACTTTCATCACTGACATCAACTGCTTTATCATCCTGATCAAGGGAATCCATACCGGTTGTGCTACCACTAATTTCTGCAGCACTTGAGTCCTCCATTTCCTCGGTGTCCTTTACACTTCCGCTGTCAATACCTTTTACAGCAGACGATGCTGGACGGTAGCCAAGTATTTCTTGCAGTTTGTCATCGTACTTGCAAAACGACGGTGAGCCGCCACTCTGCTTGATCTAGCTTTACAAAGTCTATGATTTTGTTTTTGCGAATGCATTTTAGTCTTGCATTGCACTGCAGACTGTTCATGAACACAATCTTCCATTCCTGAAGATATGATTTTGTACATACTGGCATTACTCGTTTTGCGACATGTTAAGGAAGTGCCAGTTAACCAAATGACTCAAAACTGACCCAAAATGCACTGGGACACGTGTCTGACTATGTAGTAATGAACCAGTCAACCATGGGTAGGAAGTTCTTTGATCAACAATTAATGTAGTGAAGTTTGCATGTAGTGGTTATGCTATTTGAGGCTGTATTAGTCGGAACAACAACACATTTTCATGTAGGACAGCCGGACCTGGGATAACAGCTGGCTGGGACAGTCTATGGGTTTATTTCCAATTCTTATTCCTCTTTTTCAGTTTATGCATCCTACTCATGTCATCACGCACTGGACCGCCTCCGTGGTCTAGTGGTACAGCGTCCGGCCGCGTCATACCAAAAGACGTTAAAAGATGGTACTTGTTGTTACCCTGTCTGGCGCTCGGCATTAAGGGGCTAAAACAAGGACTGGTCGGCTCGGAGTCAGTGTACTGTGTCCGAGTGGGGTATTCATGTTAAACTGCGGCGTGGTATCTCAGTGTGCTAGCACTGTAAATCGGCATCAGGACTAGTACAAGCACGCGACGTTAAACCCAATTTCAACTCACCTCACCTCATCACGCACTGACTTAACCTACTATGAAAGACATTCCACGAGTTCTCTTTTGGTCCATTGAGTTGCATAGGTTTTCAGAGCATCCACAGTGGTTTTAGAGGTCTGATATAAATTCGGAGAAGACTGCGAAATTTGGGAATAACTGACGAAGGTTGTTATTGTCAACAATAGAAAAGTCACCTGTGATGATATGACCAACAAGGTGGTGACAGTAAGATGGCAGTCATAATTAGTGGTGTTTACATCATGAGTTGCCAAGTCAAAATTCTGCAACACGTTACTATAACTGAACAACTTAAATGACCAACAATCCTACGAGCACGGGAAAAGTGCTGATAACACCACAGTCATCATCAGGGCGAATCTGGGATTCGAGCCAGGTGGCCCAGACGTCGAAGGCGCCGCGATTCGCTTTGCAGAGTTGCGTCCCTTGGGCTCGCCAGAAACCTATGATTGTGGGTTCGAATCCTGGTTCGCCCCGATTATGTTTTTAGGTTTGTCAGCACCATGCATACCCGTGCTCGTGGGTTTCACCTAAGACCTGCATCACTTCGGGCTTTCCTCCAACATAAAGCTGACACGCCGCGATATAACTGGAATACTGTTAAAAGCGGCGTTAAACCAAACTCACTCACTCACTGGGATTCGAGCCCACGAGCATCTGGTTCTAACTCTGCACAGCCAATTGCGGCGACACTGGTCTGGCGCAACTTTGAAAGTTCCCTGTGTCGGTCTGGTGCAACATTGAAAGTTACCTGAATCAGTCAACTGCAACATTTAGGAGACACACATTAAATGGTTTCAAATTTGCGGGTGTTATCGCGTATTCTGGGGTCCGGAAATTTTCATTTCAGATGGTTCAATGGCATTTTAATACCAGTCGGATTGCAGGACTAACGTCTGATACGAAAGTATAACGGAAGTTACCTGAGTGAGTGTTGCGCAACAGTACCCACGCAGCACACAAGCAACTACATGCGCAACACCTGTCACGCCAACTCAAGCAACTACGCGACCTACTTCTTGAAAACACGACCATGGCGGACTTGTCGAGCGTGTCTATTTGGATTAAAGTGTGTCTGGTTCTCGTGCCTTTGGGAGGAATATTTCATCTGATAGGTTTTGCATCACCGTATTGGATCTCAGCAACGGGTGTGTTCCACAATGGAATCTGGCGAACTTGCAATACTTTACACTGTCTTGACTATCTGGATGCTGCGGTTTTGGCAGGTGAGTGTCGGGTGCCATATCAACCTACGACAAATATGTTTACCTCGCCTTTGCGAAGGGGGTCTGTTTTCTCACCAACATCCTTATCTTGTTAGTCTAAGATGTTTTTGTTGTTTTATATTCTTACTACATGACGGAGGTTTGTACATAATCGTGTCTGTAATTCAGTAATAATACAATTTCTTTTATGATCCACGCAATCTCATTAAAATCAGATCTCAGTTCCGCTCAACAAAGATCATCCGATTACGGGTCAGGTCAGAACCACCTTTCATGCGACCAATCAGAGCGTCGCTTACAAGATCCTGAATTGACAGTCGGAATACGTTTCCTGACCATCAACCTCGAAGAGGTTAACAGAGGTATTCCGAACGACAAAATCATCGCCTATCTCTTGCTTCAATGGGATAAACATTTGAAACCGACTTTGCTAAGCCCATGGGAATTACTGCCATACAATCTCGGCCATCTATTAGAGATTCCAGAATGTTTTTTGTTCAATTGTAAATAGCGAACTTCGTAAATTTATTTTTCAAAGCCTAGTCTGTAATGGAAGTTGGCAGACTAAAACTAGTGTCGTATACAGTCGACTTCAAAGTCATATTACATTGTTGGTCAAAGTTCGCGAAAGGCTGTTCTTACACCATCTGTTATGGGATGTCCTCAGATCTTTGTTTAGATGTAGTGAGAACAAAGATCTGATTTTAATGAGATGGTGGCACATGCCTCTCAGATAATCCTGACCACCCGATTTATTAAAGGGCAAGTTCACACGGAAATTAACCTATTTTTCTTGTACTTTTTCCACATTAAAAGTGTTAACATAGAAGTGTCATAGACAAAAATATAAAAACATCATATTTAATTAACATATTTTTTGCATTAAAACGATTTATATTTTTCACATTTACCAAGTGTTCTATTTCCATAACAAAAACACCATGGCTTATGCCCCTTGCAATATGACGTCATTGATGCCAATTGATAAACATTATGACGTCATCATGCTTTGTTAGAGCCGCTACCCGTGGTGTAGGTACAGTTTTGTGATTCTAGCGTCTCAGATGCCAGCCAGAATTGTGTTATGCTGAGTCACCACTGCGCCGGAGTGTGTCGTAGACCATGTTGTTTTACCGCAAACTGGTCCTTGATATCTTTTGCGTTGAGAATAGACAGGGACCCAGTTGAATTGGCACCAATTACGTCATAATCTAAGGGGGATAACTCAGGCCTATTTCGCTCGTAAAACGAAGGCCTCATAACGACATATCATTTTAATACTATTGTGAGCTTCCTACTTTCACTGTGAAAAAAATGAGCGTATATTTTCAAACACAGATACTAACTAATTCTAAAATTGCGTTTTGTTTAGAAAAAGAAAGAAAGTGATTTTTGCGTGTACACTTCCCCTTTAAGTTGTCTCTTACGACCAGCATAGCTTGCTAGGGATCTATTCTGACCCAGAATCCCCAGGTAGCTGGGTATCTTCCCTTATTACTATTGACTGTCTAAGGGCGCAAGGCTCTGAAATGAACATATTTCACACAAAAAATAGTTGTCAGATTTACTTAATAAAATATAATAAAAAGGAGCCCAGAGACTCTCTGAAACTGCAGTAATCTAAACTTTACTTTTGACTATTAAAGACCTGCATGGGCTTTATTGGATATGTTTGTTTCGGGGTCGATATGACTGACTGCGACATGAGTAGCCGTGCGACATGATTGTAAGCTATGCTAATTGTAAGAGGTTGCTGCCATGGATCGGGTGTTCGATTGTTTACCGCGATGTAGCTTGGCGTAGCGTAAATTCCTTTGATGTGACTAAAATGTCAGATTAGTCCCTCCTTTTCAAGAAATAGAAGTTGGCATTATTTTCTTGCATTTTTTAAAATGTGGCAACGAATTTAAACTGGCCAATGACGATCAACAGAACATGTTGGCGGTGTATTGTTAGGGTGCAAACAACCAAGAAATACGACAGTGGTGTGTAGTAAAAAAAAATGAACGTTTGAGATGATTTGATCAATAATAGGTCATGCCCAAACGATTGGTCTAACATACTACTTGAAGTATATTTTAACTGAGGTAGCCTGGAGCAAGTGAATAATGATTTCATTGTCTTTTTGTGCTCGATGTTTTTAAAGCTTGGTGTCTGATAAATCTATCCTGGACCTGTTGGCCCAGGGCACCCTGTGCAGGGCGATCATAAACTGAGACACATCGAACATATTGGCTACCTCTCGCTGAGTTCGAAAAGTTTGCTGCGTATACTCTTTAGGCGTTCATAACGTTGCAGACGACGCATTCCCAAAATACTGCATTGAAGCAAGAGTAGAGATCTTACGTGTTACTGTGGATAGGGAAAGTCAACTATACTAATGACACAGAGCGAGTTGTCGACCTTTCACTGAACACACGTCCACAGAGGAAATGCATGGTCCATGCGCAATGGTGTGTGGGCGTTAGGTTTTGGTTCTGAAGCCGCTCTATCTCCGGTAGTCCTTTGTCAAAGCTGATCTTTCTTCTGGCGACCGATCATAACATTTAGATTTCATGACTCCCTATACACCAAGTATGGAAGAAATTGAACCCTGGCTTTTGACGAGCGATCGCTTTACCAACAAGACGCCCACAAGTGAAAAAACAAACAAACAAACAAGCATGATTTTCTCATATATAAGCGTGTGTGTATGTATGTGATCATATTCTTATTTTATGATATTATCTTATTTAAGCACATGTAACAAAACTCCTCTTTTGGAAGGAAAAAAATCAAATTTAAATTGGTTAACTTAAATCACAGCAAAAAAAGTGTAGGTTTCCGTCTTCCGGAAACCTTCCGGAAACCTACCCATTTTGGATCCGGCCCGGATACCTTCCGGAAACCTTCCAAAAAAAATGTCAAAATTTGGGGGTAGCACTTTGTTCAGTTAAGTGTGAAACACATAAAAAAATTAACTTGAAAATGCCAAGCAATTTGAAGGTTGTTGAAGGCATCTGGAAGGTTTCCGGAAGGTTTCCGGAAGGTATCCGGATGCAAATTTTCTTCATGACTTGCTTCTGGTAAATAATGTTAGCCTGTGCATTACAGGTACCTGTTGTAATATTCTGTGTTATTTTAGTTGTAAATATCCTCCTCAAACTGAGATATGTGGGCATGCATTGTTCACAAGTTGTTTCGCGACATTGGTCCAATGTGTGAAGCTTATTGCTGGTGTCCCCCGCCATGATATTGTTGCAATATTGCTAAAAGTGGCAAATCAGCATTCTCACTCAGAAGAAAATGGAAAGTCATTGGCTATGTGCTTTGGCATTTGGCCCTGGTGAGATAAAAGATTAGTTTGGAACGGTATCAGTACTTGTTATATCGGGACAGTGTAGTTTCATGGGAATATGAAACAGAATACAATTGTCAGAAATTGGTGCATAAGACTAATGGCATCCATAGAAAACACCTAAATAAAGTACAGAAAAAATATCAATGTCATTTGTCTACTAAGGTGGAACTACAACTTTTGTTAAGTGAGCTGTATTTATAGTAGGAAAACATTCAGGGCATTATTACATTTTATATTTGTTCAGCACCTATGTTATGGCTGATCAGTATTATATTTCTTTATGCTAATGAAGCAAAACAAATCATGTTTTTGGAAACAAATCTTATTTATTGGTTATATGGCATTTCATTGGTACATATCACAAATTGAAATTTGATCAAGCAAGAAGAGGAACTAGCATAAAGTAACCAGTGGTGTTTGCAAGGCCTTACAGAACAGACGCTTCAATGCCATTTTCTAAATAAACAAATAAGTCAAATCTCAGAAGAATTTCATTGAAGAAGAATATCTAAAGTCAATTATGTTTCTGCAGTAAACCACAAAAGTCATTCAGATTTGTATAGTCAGCATCGGTGTACACAACCTGGACATAGTCACAGTGCTTTGGCATAAATTCATTCAGACTTCATTAGTGTCATAATAAAACCACCTACAGTCACACTGATTTGGCATTATTCATTCAGAATCATCACTTTCTGATGTGAATCTGTTGGTTGTTATCAGGAGGACTGTTCATCATCCGGCGAGTCCTTTGTCTGAATTGTGTGAGCAAGATCTTCTTAAATGTAGCTGGTGTCAGATTGTGAAATCCAGGTACCTGAAACATTTCATAACATCTTTAGAAACTTATTAGTCAAAAATTATGAAACACACACATATTTACAAATGTTTAAAGTTATTTTCTCGAACAGTGAGGTATTGACAATTTATCTTGCAACTGATATTTAACCAATCTTTGAACATGTAAATGAGCCATTGCAAACAGAAAAGTGTTCAGAAAATACATATATGTATCCGGTTTTCTAAAACAATACCTTAAGCGCCACAAGGTTCACCTGAATTTTGCTTGAATGTTTGCATCATCAAAATGTAAGGAAGGGTAAACAAGACAATGCAAAACTAATTTACATAGGTTCTTATACATAAATAAATGAATACAACTATTCATAATTATCAAAACACATGTCATGTAAGTGATCTCAAAATAAAACATAATGAGCGAGCGAGTTGGTATAGTTTCATGCAGCTTGTTAGCAATTTTCCAGCTATGGGCTTCACACATTGTACCCATGTGGTGAATTGAACCCGGGTTTCAGAGACTGTTTCACCTACTAGGCTACCCTTGCACACCAAATACAAAAGAAAGTATATTAGGAATTCAGACAAAAGATATTCTCACCAAATTCATTAATTCATTAATGACAAATTAGGATGAGACTGTAGAAGCATTTGTCTAAGTTATTATGGATATTTAATATCTACCGTTAATTGGTAGTCCATCATAGACAGTGATAAGAAATTCAACCAAAAAGTACAACCTGAACCATCAACTAAAAACTATGTATATTACATTAAAGGGGCCGGTCATGTATTACCGGTATGTTCTCTTTCATTTTTGACACAACCCTCCCTGAAAGAAAATGCAAAGCACTTTATATTT